TAAACAGAGTAAAAAACCAAATGTAATTGTTGATATGGTGTTTAGTGAGTTTTCTCTCAGGAGATGGAAGTTTCATTTTTTTAGTAGCTTTAAGAGAGAAAGAGAGAGGCTGGTGAGGGAACGACTGTTTATAGCTGCTATAATATAAGTGATAACAGGAACTAACTTGTTTCATGGATGTTTCACAACATTATGTGTCACTATAAATGGATTAAATGGATAAAATGTCATTGTTTAAATGTAATCACTGGCAAATTAATGCGGTATAAGAGTAATAAAACAAATTGGCACATGCTGTTTTTGGAAAATAATCAACTTCAGGGTGGTAAACAGTAATGTCAGGGTTGTTGATTATTTTCCTATAACAGCTCGTCCCAAAGTATATTATTCCTTACATATTCGATGGGTGCCAATTCACCACTGATATAGAAATGTTCATTAAAAACTTGAAGTGAGAATCTGTTGGAAATATTGTGATCTGGGTGTTCTAGATGAGTGTTTTTGTGTGTAATTTGGATAAATCACAGCGTTCCCGTCATCCAACTGAGAGAAATCACTATGCTCACTATAAGAAAATCAAGGCTTCGACAATATTTGTAATTGAACTAGAATCATTCACAAAGCATTGGGATCTTTCGTTGTCATTGCAGAATCACCGTTGAGTTTTCTGAGCCATGCTTTCCCGTTCATTGTGTCCCAAACACTCCGTCAGCATTGTTCCCGGTGGAACTTGAGCCTTATGAAACTATTCCCCTGGCACTTCCTGGTGTTGTGGGCCAATCATTCCTCTGAAGGTGGCATGCTTCATTTAGGCCTGGTTAGATTACATGGATTACATTGGTCTTAAGAAGTCACATGACTTACGAACAGACTTTCACCAAACACCTCGACTCCCCAGAGCGCATGCAGAATAACAGAGCAACAGAGCATTTAAAGCTAAAGCACAGGGTTTGCGTCGTGCATAGACAGTGGGTGGACTGGCTATGAGTGGCAACTTAATTAATGTTTTTGAACAGCTAATGCGTATATTCTTACTGTTCCTGTTTGCTCAACAAAAATGCTTATGCTGAAATTGCAGTTTGCAATGTTCAAACTCTAATTAAGAATCCTTACAGTACTGTTTTTTTTTTGTTTGTTTTTTTTGCACTGCAGCCACATACGTTGTAAAATATTAACCTAGTAAAGCTTAACAATCCTGTTGTGCTGGTACAGTTGTTTCTTTACTGTATAAACCCTTTCCACTCTCTTTCATAAGAATCACAAAGGGAAGAGATACTGCAGCTCCACACTCAGTTCCAGAAATCCAATGTTTTTTTATGTTCTCAGCTGCTGTGGACATTTTTATGTTTTTTTTTTCAATGTCCTTTCACCTGTGTCAAACATATTAAGTAACATTTCTGCAGGAGCCCACAAAAGCTTGCGAAAGAATCTGCGCGTCCCTTTTTTTTCTCTCTCATTCCTTCTTTTCTCCGAACCCAAGACATTTCCAAGTATTGTGTCCCCTCCTCGCTTACAGCATTCCAGCGTGGCGTGTCTTTAGCTGTCCGCTTTTAGACACAATGTGACAGCCTTAAACTGCTGATCCTCGGAACTGAAATTCCACGTATCGCCAAAAGGCAATGTTCTTGCATCATAAAAAAAAATATGATCCTGTCATTGCAAGAGGGGATTCAGTATTAGAATTCATGGGAACCTGAGTGTTGAACTTGTGAGTTCATTAGAGCAAGTCCAGGAATGGTAGGATGGTGCATGTTTGGGAATTTAATTTCCATTTCCATGTCTAATGTCTAATATGCAATTAAAATGAATGATGGACAGGACAGATGACGAATCCACTGGCTCATAAACCCCCCTATGTTATCATGTTCTCAAATCCCAAGAACAAGGGGGCTAAGCGATAGAGCTGGTGTGTGTAAAGAGAGGTTCCAGTTTCAATACAGCAGGTTCCTTGTTGCTTTCATCTCCGTGTTGTGCCATGCCTGTGGCTCGTGGTTAGACGGTCCTCCCTTTCTCAGGTTGCCCCGGTGAGCAGCGTGCCCAGGACCATGCCTCGCAAAGGAAACAAACATTCATCTATCTGTGTGGCTGTAACTAAAATAAGCTGACCTGTGTGGCATTGCAGGGAGTTGGGATGAGATGAAAGTGAACTGGTGCACAGGCTTGGCCTAGCATTGCTGTAATTCCACCAGCAGGAAACACTGGTGGGCCCCAGGGGCATGAGCAAACCGCCGTCTGTAAGCAGCTTATTCTGTACAATGTGGTTCTTCTAACTCACCTGGGTCTCTCGGTGTGTCACGTGTCTCCATTTCACACACTGTCTATGCATAGAGTTTCTATCAGGTTTGTTTTTTTGGTCCCTATCACTCTATCACACACCCAATAGAGTAGTTAGTGAACCTCACACACACACACACACACACACACACACACGCCCTGGGGCTTTTAACTGAACTGAGCTTGTCATTTTTTTTTCTCTGTTTTTCAGTCTCTGTGTATCTGTGACTATATATATATATATATATGCGTATATATATATATATATATATATATATATATATATATATATATATATATATATATATATATATATATATATATATATATAGCAACTAATTAGATAATCAAAATTTTCATTGCATCACAGTAAGTATATCTAATCCCCATAATTATATTTCCCTTCCCAAATGTTTCTGCTTGAGCAGACAGAAATGTTCTATGAATAGATACACATTGATACTCTAATAATAATAATCATTGTCGTGATTAGTGTAAATTATTGTCCATCTGTCAGTCTCTTTGGTATGAAAGTACATGCAGATAATTTGCATAATCTCAATGCCACACCCAGAAATTTGACCTAAGCATGTGCGTAAGTCAACTCTGAATATGTGTAACTTTCCCCACATAAATATATTTTATGTATATTTATTTATTTATATTTCATACATTTGTAATTTTGGTCAGCAATTCTGAATACAGCCCTTAGCTACTAAGTTGGAAATTCATTATATGATAAACAAATGACTCTTACGTAACAAGAACTGGATTTCTGCAAGGAAATCAGACAATAAATTATGATAAACAATTTGAATTGAGATTTTGTTTTAATTAAATATTTTGCAGCAATTAATTAAAAGGCTGTAGAAGAACTTGGGATAACAACAATTGTCTGTATGTCTGGTTCTTGAATTTGACCCCAAGGCAAACACAAACCTTTTCTTTATGTAACTCAGTTGAAATGATTACGTTAACAGACAGTACAGGGCTGGAATAATCACGTTCATGACAGCTTGGGCTGGGGTGGGAAACGTTTAGCATGTTTAATGTACCTTTGGTTTAGTAAATCAGTGTAGTATGTTGACTTTTTCTGTCTCTGTTGGTTAGATGAGGCTGCTTTAGGAAACCACTTAGCAACTATCCGGGTCAAGCAAGATAAGGACAAGCCACATCATAAGCAGAGCCTGGCCTTGAACTGGGTCATTGGCTGGCTTTACCAGTGGGGAGAGGTCAAATCATTTTTAGATCTTTCCCTTGGCTCAGCCAATGGAAAGGTTAATTATACTCTACAGGTAGTAAATTTGCTAAACTCTAAATCATTCTTCTTGACTTGGAAAAGGAAAGTCTCTCACTGGCATGAGAAGCAGTGGAGTGTCTGATATGTGACCCAGCAGACTCAGGGTATGCGGCTGATCTGTGTGCATACATCAAAAGTGACAAGCAGATCAGGATTTATGAATCCTAAAATGGCTGTTAAAAAAAAAAAGAAAACAGTGCAAAAGTTTGTGCCCCCCATTTATTAATTGGAAAGAGAAAAATATAAGGAAGGTTGACAGGTCTAGAGCTATTTATATCACCTTCAGAAGGGGAACTTCATTCATCTTGTTTTGATTTTTCCACTGTTAATATCTTAACATGAACACTATTTGACCATTTTTGTTTAGTGAAAATGTACAGCACATTTCTCTATCTCCAGGTGTTTTCACACTTCGCTGCTCCAAGTGGTCTCGGATCGATGACTCAGCATTTTTTCCCCTTTGTGCTTCATTTTGTGGTCCACTTGATTTGTGCATTGTGAAGACAAAGTAGTTGGTCACATTTTGCTCACTTTATGGATAAAGAACCTGTAGGTTGCTGTAAGTACATACAGCTTTCTGTCACCTAACTGAAAAAAATGCTGAAAAAAATTATGCTGTAGAGCTTAAGTAGTTTCGCAGCAGTGATTTTATTAATGTGTCAATGGCAGAAACAGTAGTTACTGTATATTATTATAAACACACAGCGTGTATGTAATATATGTTGTGTATGTATGCATTTTTTTCTACACTAACCAGTCACATGAGCTAAACAGTCAGGAGATCTATGGCATGAAGCATGAGTTGGTTTGGATTGGATCAAGATCAAAACTGTTTGTTGCTTCTATTTTTAAAAAGCTCTATTTTTCATCCACAGCCAAATGATAGCATTATGTAAAGCAACCACTTTGAATGACACTATCCATAATTCCGTGCTACACAGCTATTACACTGTGGTAAAGGAGCTGTAGTGTGAACAACAGCAAAAGCACTGAGGTCATTTGCAGCTAGCTCCCTTTCGGGTCCGCTTTAGAAGGACTGACCGTGGTTCATTTAAAAAGAACTATAAGTGAAAACACTCGCTATCTCTATATCCTGTATTTGTCCTGAAAAAGATAAAATCTCTGTATCTTGTATTTGTACTGAAAAGGATGTGAACAAATTTTCAACTATGCAATAAATGTGTAGATCTGAATACATAACTAACTCAAATTCTACTTATAACCATAGAACTACATCTACTACTAAAATAATACTTGAAATATAGAATACTTGGCACATAGTGTCCTTCTCTTTAAGTATACTTACAAAGGCTAGCAGGTAAAAAGTATATTAATGTACTTAAACCAGGATATCAAAAGAACACTCGTGTACTTCTCTTCAAAATATTCTTAAATATACTTAGACATGATATATATGGAGAGTGGGTCCCTGGTGGTCTAGCGGCTAAGGATCCTACGCTCTCGCTGCCGTGGCCCGGGTTTGAGTCCCGAGCAGGGAACCAACCCAGCCAAGCCCGGATAAAATGGGAGGGTTGCGTCAGGGAGGGTATCTGAGATAAAAAACTATGCCAAATCAAACATGTGGCCCAATGATCCGCTGTGGCGACCCCTAACGGGAGCAGCCAGAAGAAGAAGAAGAGCAACAACAACATGATATATATGAAAAGTAAACTGTTCATCTCTCCAGATATACATTAGTATGGTTGTGGTAAACTTTGTAGTATATTTGAATGAACATGACACATCATTAACTTGACAGATCTGAGAACAATATGTGAGTTTGTTTCTACTGATCAATGCAAATCCTGTGAAGGTGGTCCTTTGCTCTCTGGGGGATATTCGTCATGATAAACACACACACAGATGAAGTCTTTCGCTAAACAGCAGGAGCTACATTTACCATTTACTCCATGTCTAAGACATGTTTGATTCGTGGTTGCCTTGGTTACATAATGAACACGGAGAGCAGACCAGGAGTTGCCTGTAATTACAAAATGATTTATCTTCTAGGCTTTAATCAAAGGGCTGGTTAGATCATCCCAACATTCTGGCAACAATCTGTCCTAGAATCAGCAGTTATATATCACATGTGTGTGGAGTCCCTCAAGAAAAGAACATGGAAAAAAGTCCGTTACAGACTGTAATTTTAGAATCGTTTTTTATTTAATGACAAATAAATACAGAGGTTGAGTATGAAAGGATGTGACGGAGAACTTCAGCATGGCCAACGGTTAGGCTTGTGAATGAAGCTGAAAAATCTGTTAAGGTTTATGTTGCCTATTAATATATATATATATATATATATATATATATATATATATATATATATATATATATATATATATATATATATATATATATATATATATATATATATATATATATATATATATTATATATATATATATATATATATATATATATATATATATATATATATATATATATATATATATATATATATATATATATATACTCTGTTCATGCTAGCAATATAGGACTTAGCAGTAACCTTAGCTAGCATTCACTTTTCAGTACAAAGTGAAAAAAAAAATTAAAAAATGGCTGGTCAGATAAAGAGTATATTAGCTTTAGGCCAGTCCCAGACATGAATGTTTGTACAATACTAGACCACTAGCTATATTAGCAAATGTTAGTCAGCTAACCTTACTGCACTTAGCTCTATGTTGTTAGCTTGGTCAGTGAATATTATCCCATGTTCATGTCTCTTTATTTCTGACTCGGAACTACTTTTCACCTCAGAGTGTTTGTGCAACTTCAGCTATTTAAGTTGACTAAATGGATGCTCACAGTATGATAGAACTTGCTTGACTATATATATTTTAAAAAACAGCTTTCAAATTGCTTTTAAAAGCCACCAGGGCAGTTGTTTAGATAGTGCTTCATTCATTTGAAAAGTGGATGTAAGTTGTAGGCTATGATAACTCAGTGTTAATAGCATTAAATAAAACATGATCAAATATCTACAGTGCATTAGCCTTTTGAATTATTCCACTCTCCTCTGTATGTGGTAATCACATGTTCTTATTTTGTGCCACCATTTTGAAATGATCTCATGGATTTCCAACACAGAGAAGTCAGAGGTTTTTTTTGGGGTTTTTTTTTTTTTTGACTTTCTGGGTGGGAATTGCAAGATGGAGAGCTGTTCAAATGGATTTTTCTACTCAGAGGTCAGAAATGTTGCAATACTCGCTTGGCCTCTGATGCAGCATTAGGCCTGGAGCAGAAACTGTCTGGTTCAGTCGACTCACTATCGCTGGAATTGAATGCCACTGCAAGACGTTCTGCGATGAAAAGACAGATTAACTCTGGTTCAGAGACCATGCATGACACACACCATTTGCTAACAATGACCATGGATTGAACACTTTGTTTATACTCCCAGCATTTTGTAGTGTTACAACCAAGAGGCAAAGGGTAACGCTCAACATGATACTACCACCACCATGCTTCACTGTGGGGAAGATATTCTCAGGGCAATGAGCAGTTTTGGGTTTCTGCCAAATGGAGCGCTTTGTGCCAAGGCCAAAAAGTTTTGGTCATTTGGTCTCAATTGTTGGTCTCACATTTTGGTCTCAACAGTCCAGAGAACCATTTTCCACATGTTTGCTGAGTCTCCAACATGCTTTTGGCAATCTCCAAACAGGATTTCATATGGCTCGCTTGTCATCCATAAAGGCAGGCTCTGTGGAATGTCTGGAGTGCTATGGTTGATATACGCATATGAGTATTCATTTATGAAAGACTTTGTTCTATTCGGTCCTCTGAGTGTACAGAAAAGGAAACGTGGAAATGTGTCATGTTGTCATTGCCTAGCTCATCACTTTAACCTTAAAGGGAATTTACTAACTGTGCAGTTGAATCTTTTTTTTTTTGTTGCATTTTTGCATTTTTTTAGTCATTCTTTATCTTAACACAGATTTTACTTGTCTCATATGTGGGATACGTTTCTCGAAAGTATTGCAGCACAATGATTATCTTTAAACGATAGAGCGAGCATCACACTGAATACTCTTACTACCGGTTAGGGTTATTTTAAATGTACTGTGATAGTGCGGCTTTATATGAATGACAACTGTACAAGTAACCTTAGAAATGCATGTCACATGGACATGATTATCCTGGGAGCTCTTACACATCTTATTTTAAATGCAACTACTCCAAAAACTACCTTGGTGCGTCCTTGCAGCCACATGCAGTTTGCTTTGTCTCTTTATGGAGGGTACACATTACAACAATGACACAGTAAATTGGCCTGCAGTGGAGAGGCAGCAGGATCCGGGGCCACTGATTGGCTGCAATCTTCCTATACAGATTGGAGCATTGTGTCGTCTCAGGTGCCTCTTCATGAAACCATGGCAATCTGAAAGGGAGGCCTGGAGCGAGGTTGTGATGTTTGCTGGAGAAATCACTGGTCTGTGCATCAGTGATAGACGTGCCTGTGCAAAAAACTAGGTCAGCCCTTGTCTCCTTGCCGAGCAGCCACAAAAGCCACATCCTCTGAGGACCCAGGCAGCTTTGACCTCTCCTCTTGTCCTTTGTTCTCAGTCTTCCTGACACAGTCTTCCAATCCTACCATCCATCACTCTTTTTCTCTGTGGCCGTGGTTCATTTGTCTCCTATTTAACCCGTCTCCCGTCTAAATTCGGGGTGAAAGGAGAGCACAGTCTGCAGTCAACCTGAGGTCAGAGCCAGTTAATTGGTGGTGCATTACAAGAAGCCTTTATTTCTCAAATGCTGCATAACAACAGTGATACTTTTACATTATGCTTGTCTGTATGACTCACTTGGATAAACGGGAAAGTAACAGTTCCATTTTTAGCACCTTTTCTCAGCTAAGATGTTCAGCTCGAGGTATTAGAGTTAGACAGAGACATGCATCTGCATCTGGTGATAACAAGGATACTATTCTTTATCAACATGTTTTTATTTTATAGCTTAACTATAGAATTTATAAAACGTATTTACAGCTCCAAATCTATGAGCAAATAAATAGTAGGTGACTAAAATTGCAAATCTGTTTCTATAATAGCTAGACTCTTATAACTCTTATACCATATCACTATTGAACTCTTGATTCTGATTGGTCAGGAGGTGTAGCTGAATCTTCTATAACAGCAGCTCTGATAGTAGGTTTACATTAATGCGTCTGTTCGAATATGGTATCGTTTCTATAGTAACAGCTAATTCACAGGGAATTTTACAACAGATGGTCCACATAATAATAAGGTTTAATAAGAAATGGCTGGTGAGGGAATGATTGCTATAATGTAAGTGATAACAGGAAGGAAATTGTTTTGCAGATGTAACTGGACACAATGTTTTCTTTAATCAAAACAATATGTAATCATTGGCAATTTGCTGTGGTATAAGAGGAATAAAACATTTCAGGACATGCTGAATGAAAGTATGAAAATAATCAGTTTCGGCATGGTAACAATAACTCCACTTTGTATCAGGATGCATTATACATGCAGTCTTTAATCATTTTCCAATAACACACAACCCCAAAGTGAAAAACTTACTTAACCAGGAGTCATTTAGGAAAAGTTATGGTTGTACATAGAACCATGTATAAATGGAATTTTAAACAGTTATGACGTTTTCAACTAAAAATCCATTTGGACCAATAAAATTAAGAGGACATTGTTATTTATAGCAGCATCAGGGTTGTGTAGAGAACCTGTTGTGTATTGTTCTTTAAAGAACCTTTTAAAATGGTTTATCAACAACAATGGCTTCCACAGTTGTTTCTGGTCCTATGTAGAACATTTGTTGCTAGGAGTGTACACTATGATATTAATTAAATAATGATTTAGATACAAACATTCTTAAAAATGGCTTCTTAAAAAGTGTTCTTTAAGGGTTCATTACCTCCTAAAAACACTCTGTTGTCGGATACATAAAACTTTTAAGAGACAACCAAAGAACGCTTACTGGTTTTCATTTTTCTAGGAAGGAAGCTAGAAACATACAAAGCTGGAAGTTATTTTAGCTCAGTACTTTTGTTGATTTTTTTATTTGTGGCTTTTAATAGATCCCGGAAAAGTCATGATAGTTGAGTCATTGCAGCTATAAATCAGTTCACTAACAAAATACTGAATCCTCAAAAACAGCTCACTGTAAAAATTGCACATTTATGGCACAATTTCTTTAAACTCTGCTATATTGTATGGCACCATGACCCTGACCAGGACAAAGCGGTTATGGAAAATGAATGAATACATGTGCCAGTTTTCAAAGCAGCCTTATTGTACAAAAGCTTCAGGCGAAAACGTTTAGTCAAATCTTCTGTTGTGTTCAGTGTTGGAAAAAAAGTATCAGTTGGTTAATTCTTATTTGAATCAAATGGCTGTCTGGTACTTAATCCGCCGAGTATGCAAATCAAATATAACTCACAGAAATGAGAGTATGAATCTTTTTTTTACCTTTTCAGACTGCTGTTAGGATGCCTCTGATTATAAAAAAATATATTTTT